CTAGGAGGACAATTCTAATGGGCTGATTACTCGGCCACAGCCTCAACCAGCGACATCTACGCAAGCAGCAAGATGTTTTTTGTGGGGCTGGCAAGATGACTCAGTGGCCTAAAGCACCTACTTAGAATAAGCTTAGCAAAGCACAGGGACTGCGGTTCAATCCCCCAGCACCACATGCCAGCCAGCCTGCCCCCTGGTGGGCTGAGCTGGCCACACTCACACACACATACACACACATAAATAAAATTAAAAAAAAAAAAAAAAAAAGATGTTTTTTGTTTGTTTTTTTTGTGGTACCGGGGACTGAACTCAGGACCCTGTGCTTGCCAGGTAAGTGCTTAGTCTACTGAGCTATCTCCCTGGCAGCAAGCAGCAAGATGGATGTGGATTTAATATTGACATCAAGATATCTCTAGCATGGATATCAAACATCAGGATAAAAACTTCAGTGAGAACCTGTCTGTTGTTGGTAGACTCCAAAGCGTCAGCATTCTGCACCAAATCCAGTTCTACCCTAGTTTAAAAGGCCATTAAAAAAAAAGCCATTCACCATCCTGTGCCAACCTTACATCTGCCCTTGTCCCTCTACTTTTCTTCACCATCTCAGCCAAAACTGCCATACCCAGGCATGGCGGCACACACCTGTAATTCCAGCAGTCGGGAGGCTGAGGCAGGAGGATCACTGCAAGTTGGAGGCCAGCCTGGGATACAAAGTCAGTGGAACACCAGCCTGAACTGCATAGCCAGACCCTGTCTCAAAAAGACAAAATCACCACCATAATAAAAAAAACCCATCAACTCACTTTTTAAAGAACTGTTTAACTGTCATGGCTGGGGACATAGCTCAGTGGCACAGCTCTTGCACAAAGCCCTGGCTTTGATCTTTGGGAAAAACAAATAGAACTAAGAGTAACTGTCAACTCATTTTTTAAAGAAGCAAATATAGATTCTTAGACAAAACTAACATAAGGTGTTAGTGCAATTAGGCTAGCAATTAGGCCAGGAAAATAACATTTAGACTTCTAAATAGATTTGTATCTCCAGTTACCATCTGTTGTCAGCCAGGATCCAGTGAGTACTGGCTCTCTTTAAATTACTTTCAGGACATTAAGAAAATTAAAAAAGATATTAAGAAAAGGCTGGGGTGTGGTGGCCCATGCCTGTAATCCCAGCACTAGGGAGGCAGAGGCAGGAGGACTGCTTTGAGTTTGGGGCCAGCCTGTGCTCCATAGGGAACTCAAGGCCAGCCTGACTTGCACAGAGAGAACCTGCCTACAAAATAAAAAAAGACATTTCTCTGAAGGTCCAGAAGCTCAATGGTATGGTACTTGCCTAGCACACAAGATGTCCTTCAATCCCTAGCCTTACAGAAGAAGAGGAAAACAAAACATTCTTGAGTAGACACCAAAGCACAAATAAGCAAATGCTTTGGCCTCTGGGGCAGGTACCAAGCCCAGGTCCAAGCCATAGTTACGCTCTTGGAGCCATATATGTTTGTAGCAAGAGTCACAGGAAAGAGGTCTAGACCCTTAGGGTACAGGGCCAAGGACAGGGCTCTGTGAGAGGAGGGTAAAAGGGCAATGCCTGAATGCCTGCCTACTATGATATACAAAGTGATGTATATCACTTTGCCTGGGTATGACAGTTTTGGCTAAGATGGAGAAGAAAAGTAGAGGGACATCTACTGTCTGACACCTCTGAAAATATTTTGAAAATACAAATAACTCAAAGCTTTTAAAAGGAAAGGTACGCACAGCCTATATCCTAGGTGACACCAGGCGATTGCGTCTCCTGACTGGCACTGCATGGGCAGTGCTTCCGCGTCTGGATGGCACTGGCTGTTTAGAGAATCATGGGAAATGGGAAGATGTTAGGAAGAAAGATCTTGCTTTAGAAGGTAAACCTTCAGGTAAAGAAGACACCACACACAACAACAACAACAACAACAACAACAACAACACAGGGGCTACAGCTCAGCAGCATAGCACCTGCCTGGCAAGCTTGATGTCATATGATTCTCATTACCAAAAACAAAACAGAACAAAATAAACCAAACCAAACCAAACCAAACCAAACCAAACCAAACCAAACCAAACCAAACCAAACCAAACCAAACCCAATGGCAGCAAAAGATAACACACACAGGGCACTCAGCCTTAGCTTCTGCTTTTCTGAATTCTTACTTACCATGCTTATACCTACCAGTGATTGTGAAGTTACTGCAGATACTTTGCCTGGTCTGCGATCCCACTCAGAAGAGATTATGTGCTGTGCTCTCTTCTATCGGGCTTGTCCAGTTCAGCCTGCCATCTGTGAGTACCACCCGTGTCTTGGTGAACATCAGTCATTTGTTCCCTTTGACTGCAGTGTGGCGTTCCACGGCGTGGCATTCAGCAGTGTGGCTACACTATGGTTTATTTGTTCACTGTCAATTATGTTTGGCTCACTTCCAGTTTGGGATTTGAAAAAAGCCAGTATGAATGCTTGTGTACACGTCCTTTTGCTTTCATTTCCCAACAAGACAACTTTTTTTTTTTTTTTGAGACAGGGTTTCACTATGTAGCTCATGCTGGCCTTGAACTTGCTTAAATAGCCCAGGCTGGCCTCAACTCTTGGCAATCTTCCTGCTTCAGTCTCCCAAGTGCTGGGATTACAGGAGTGCCCCACCATGCTCAGGTTTTTTTTTTTTTTTTTTTTTTTAAGAGTAGAATATATCTACTGGGGGAAAGAAAGCTTCTGTCCAAGAGAGGGATAGAAATAGGGTGGCGAGTGGCTTGTCCCCATGCTCATATTTTGATAAGCCATTAAAAATTATTTATCTATTTTTAAATTAACCATTTCCTTTGATATCCTGAACATCACTCTGGACATAGGGCTCTCTCCGCAGAAGAAACAGGTGTGTGGAGTGAAGATGACCACCCACTGTTAGTCAGGTTTCTAATCACAAATTAGCTTGAGCTGAACAACCTATCTCAAAGCCTCTGCACAGTGAAAAGCGGCAGCCACAGAAGGCCACACATAGCATAGCATGAGTCCCTCTACGTAGGAAACATTAGAAAAGGTGAACCCGCTGAGCCCCAGTGGCAATGCTTCCAGTTCAGCAGTTTCTGAGGGCCAGAGATCAAGTGAGGGCCGACTGCACCCCGGCTGGGGAGCTCTGCCCTAATGGGAGGATCTAAAATGGCCGTGTGAGGGCTGAACAAGCATCCATGCGTGAACGCTCCCTGAACTATCCACTTAGAACAGAAGAGTTTCACAGACTAGAAAGTACATCTCAGTAATGCTGGTATTACTTCAGTGCTGACTTCAGGGTGGCACTGGCCCTCCATCACCCAGTGCTGGGCACAGAGGACTCTATAAATATTTGCTGACTAGATTGCATGAATTCACATGAGTCTATGAGACATGAGTCTCATAGATTATTATTCTTTTGTACCAGGGATTGACCTCAGGACCTTGTGCTTTCTAGGCAGACACTTAAAGCCTCTGAGGAAAGGTTTATTTAGCTCCCTGGTCTGAGTCTCACAGAATTAACACCGCTTCTCGTATGGCTGGGCTTGGGTCCTTCTCTGAACACACGCCCAATGACTGTAGCAGAACTGTCTTTCTGTAGTTTCTCTGGAGAGGAAAAGAGACCAAACAGAGACCAGAAGCCACTGCAAGAGCCAGGGAGATGGCTCAGTAGAATAAGGGCCTGCTTGGTAAGTGCAAGGGCCTGAATTCAATCCCTGGTTCCGCCAAAAAAGCCCCCCCCCCAAAAAAAAAGAAAACACCCAGAAGCTACTGCCAGTCCCTCTGACACCATCACAGCAGGGTGATGGGAGCACCAACTGGGAGCACCAATACTGTAGGTTTGGCCGCTCAGCAGCTTACTTTTGGCCCTTGTGACAGAGGGCCAAAAGGCTGGGGTCTCTGTACTCATATCCAGGGCAGGCAGGAGTCTGGGCTCAGGGCGCCTACCTTCATTTATAACAAATGAAGGTAAAGATGCCAGCAGCATGGTTCTGTCAAGGACTGGGGATGGGGTGGGTGGGCCCTAAGGGCCCTGAAGACCACCTGAATCTGTGCACCCACCAATAACAGGGATGGAGCCTGGGCGGCAGAGCCACGGAAGGGACAAAGATGACATCAATGTCTAAGGCTTGCAGTCAGTTGGGCTATGGTACACTGTCTCAGTTACTTTTTTCTTGTTGCTGGGACCCAAAATTACAGAAGGAAAGGTTAATTTAGCTCACAGTTAGTGGAGGGTTCAGTCTATACTCAGTTGGCTCCAAGGCAGAGCAGCACATGGCAGAGGGCGGCTGTTCATGGTGGCGGAAAAAAACAAACAGCAAGAGCAAATGGGAGGAGTAGGGGCCACAGGGGCCACAGAGAGCAAGTCTGGCTTCCTTGTGTTGCACCCAGGCTATCCACCCCAGGCTGGGTGTAGCACTCACACCCATCAGCCCAGCACGGATCATGAATTAATCACAAACTCTATAAATCCACCCCATAACTGCATGAGGTTTTGGGGGACAACTAGACACAAATCATAACAAGCACCTCATCAAGACTGGCCTTTTTTTTTTTTTGCGGTACCAGGGATTGAACTCTGGTACTTGTGCTTGCCAGGCAGGTGCTTATGGCACTGAGCTTTCTCCCTAATCCGAGGCTGCCCTTCTGCCCCCGACGGTCCATGGTGACCGCTTGGTGACAGCCCAACCTGTTTGGAGCTCCTGCCACCTTGTGGCCAGAGGGGACATTACAGCCAGCAACAGGTGACCTCCCACAGTCCATGAGGCTTAGAATTCTTTATTCTGTGCTAGGAGCTGGGAGTTTGCAGGGTCTGTGGATGCTGAGCAAACACTTTATCCGCATGAGTCACAGCTCCAGCCCATTGTCTAGAATTCTTGAGGCTGGAGCAACTCTGCGGCTAAAGCTAAGAAAGCATTAGTTATTTATTTCCCCAAAAGGTCAATTAATTACCAAAAGTCACAGAGATAGGAACATAATTTGAATAATTTAATAAAAAATTTTAACACCAGAGCACAAATATTAATATGTGATTAGTAGAAAATATAACAGCCTTTTCCTGCTGTGTTAATATAAATATTGGCTTAAGGTAGCAATATCCCCCTTACAATCTTTTAGGCACTTAGGTGTAGAATCTGCTGGAGAATATAATACAATCTTATTTTACTGCTGCTAAGAGAGCAACAAAATGAGATCTGAATGTTCTATCAAAATACTGTCAGCATTACCACTCAAAAACACTATAACCATGCATGTCTAGGTAACAAGTTCCAGTGTACTTAAATGGTTAAGACATCACAGATAACAGTCAAGAGTTCAAATTCCTGGTGGTCTGAGATGGGACCCAAAGAATGATGTTTTTTTTTCTAATGGCTTTTTTTTTTTTTTTTTTTTTAATAGTCAAGAACTTTCTTAGAGGGCATTTATTTAAGCAGGCTAGAACCAAGCAGTACATGAGAGTTTATAAAATAATAACAATCAGCTGATTTGGCTGATAGTGTGGGCAGGTAACATTTAGTTTTAGCTTCAAGAGAACTATAAACACTGGGAGGCCTTCTTCAGGAAGACATAAAAATATGGAACCCACTCATCGATGTCACTCAGAGGCTGCTGGCCAAAAGTACAGTGGGGACGGGGAAGGAGTCTCAGGGGCACTGTTTGCTCCGTTACATCCGGGCTGCTGACACGGGTGCCCTGCTGATGCAGGTTCAAGGCTAGAGGTGTTAGATGCCACCACATGGTCACTGTGCGGCTGCAGTGGCCTGCACATGCTGCAGGAGCTGATCACAGTAGGTGGTTGAGCGGTGCTTATGGATGACAGCCTCGGTCTCGCGCACCAGGAGATCTGGGAACAGCACGCTGCCTTCCTTGAGCACCTCTGCAAAACAGTGGAACATCTTGAAAATGCAGGAAGCTGGCAATGAATGGGCCGTATGTACATCTATGTGCAAATTAGATGAGTCGTCCCAGCACTTGGGAGGCAGAAATCAGGAGGATCACTACTAATGTGGGCTGTGTAGTGAGACCCCGCCCCCCCCCAAAAAAAGAAAAGAAAACTAAAAAAATTAGATGAGTCGGTGACAGATGCAGGGTTAGGGCTCAGGTCACAGCACAGAATTGAAAACACCTAGCAGCTCAAGGGACAGGCGCCTCTCACAGGCCTCAGGGCAGCAGGTGACAAGAGAACTGTTTCAGAATCATTTGTTTGCCTAGTGTCTGCTTCTCAGAAGCCAAGCCACAACAGCAGTGGGTGGCTGAACCAGAGGAAGGTGGAGGTACAACCCACATACCTCTGTGTCCCCTCTCTGACCTGACTCAGTCCCAGCCTCTCTGGCCTTCACCTCAATCTATAGAATTCTCCTCTTCCAGTTAGTACCTGGCCTACACAACTGTACTATTTACTTTATTTTTTTTTTTAACATTTATTTATTTATTTATTTATTTATTTATTTATTTATTTATTTAGTGTGTCTGTGTGTGGCCAGCTCAGCCCACCAGGGGGCGGGGCTGGCTGGCATGTGGTGCTGGGGGATCGAACCATGGTCCCTGTGTTTTGCCAAGCTTGTTTCAAGTAGGTGCTTTAGACCACTGAGCCATCTCACCAGCCCTGTACTATTTACTTTAAAAAACATTTTTAAGTAACTGTGAAACCTTTAAGTGGACAAGTGGACTTTTATTAAGTGCTACATTAAGGAAAACTTGCATCTAATCAGGTTTTAGAATGGGTTTATTGAAATTTACTAAGAATTTTTTTCTGAGACAGGTCCTCACTAATGTAGTCCAGGTTAACCTCAAACTCATGGTGATCCTCCTGCCTCAGCCTCCCAAGTGCCGGGATTACAGGTGTGCACTACCACACTCAGCTCCTAAGACTTATATTGACAGAAATGTACTTATTAGAGAGAAACACAACTGTCACGTCACATTCAGTGGTCTGTCCTGCCCTTCTACACCCTTACAGCAGAGCCTGAGTGACAGATATCTTACTTAAACATCTGAGAAGTTAAGCCCATGTATCGACAGGGCTTAGCACTTTTAGGAACTCAATCATGCAGCCCAGCTATCTCACAGCCTGAGGCCCTGAAAGTGACAGTCAACAGGGCAGAGCTGAGAGCTCAGCTCTTGGGATCCCAACCACTCACATCACACAGTCCTAGGACCACCACACAGGATGAACTCAAACCCAGTCCACTCAAGGCAACCTGCATGCACAGGCATTGGGACTAGAAGGGACAAACATACCACTGTGTCTGTGTTCACCTGAAATACCTATTCTTCATCACAAATGATGCTCACCCAGCCAGTCAATACCAATACAATATGAAAATAAGAGTCATTTTTAGAGGATTTAAAGTTATAAGCAGACATGGTTCAAATGCTTTTGCCATTCTCATTTATACTTCCCAAATAGCTAGAAATACTGGAGTAAATTATGCTTTTTATTTACAGTGACAGTTAAATTCCTCGCTAATTCACTTACATAGCTTATAAAATATTATATCTTCTTTTATTTTAAAACCAGTGAATAGCACATTAGGACAGAACATGCAAGTATCTTAGTGTTTAGGTTTTTTGGTCTAATTTTCAAGAAGAAATATTTTGTATTAACGAAAAAGAATTAGCTTAGAAAATGACAGGTTCTACATTCATTGATGCTGATCCACTTAATGTTACAAATCTGCTGCACACCAGATACTGTGGATACAGCAGGGAGCAAAACCCTGCTCTGCAGTGTGAGGGGCCTTGGTCAGGAGAAGAAGGGTAGTCACGGAAGCTTCAGAGACAGAGCAGGGCCCAGACAGGGCCAGATAGTCAGCACTGTCCCTGGCAGCTGCATGTGCATCCAGTGTTGGGGTAGGGGCCTGGCCTGATGCGAGGCTCTCAGTGGAATCCTGTTCGCAGGAAGGTGCTCTCGAGACAATGAGGCCTAGGAGTAGACGGTCTGCAGCCAGAAGAGCATGCAGGTGGCCAGCTGCTGTGGCCAGCACTTCCCAAAGGAAAGTGGGAAGTCACTGAAGTCCTTGTTGAGCTCAGAAACTGCTCTTAACGGGGGGGGGGGGGGGATCAAGAGAAGGAAAGGGATCAAGGCTTCGTGTGTTTTGCCAGGGTATGCAGAGAGTGTCCTGAGACAAGACTGAGGACATGGGACTGGGGAGCATAGGTGGGGGTTAGCAGGGATGGCAGCAGCTCATGGCAGAGGCAGAGAGCTGGGCCAAGATAGAGGGAGCGATGTAGCCTGGGCTGGGATGGATACTGCTGAGGAGCTAAGGCTGGAGCTGTATTAGTTGCTATTGTTGTTTTCAGCCATTTTCCATTAGTTTCTAAACCCCAGCTTCTTTTCATTATCAGGAGAGTCACTGTCCAGATGCCTGGTCAGTCTGTCACTGTGGGTCCACTCACCCTCACTCCATGATCCAAGGCAGTGGTACTGCGGGTCGCTGGGCCCTTTGGGAGTGTGCCCATAATAACACCAAAGGCATAGCCCGCCTGGCCACACTTGCATGGGTGGGACGGGGGCACAGGCATCACAGCCTGGCCTCCAGCACCTGGCCGCCCAACAGCAGCCAGGAGCACCGTGAAGGGACCTGCTGCTGCCAAGCGCAAGGCCAGTAGCCAGGCTGGGAGGTGAGTGGCTGGCTCCTCTACGAGGCGTCACATGCCCTCAGGAAAATGGCTACTGGACAAAACAGACACACACCCAGGTTGCGCAGATACAAGTATTTGGTGGAAAAGAATGAATTGCATCTGTCACTGCACAGAACAACTGGCAGTGTTTGTGGCCAGGGATGAAATTTAAGCTTTCAAGAGAAGTCAGACAAGGGCCTGAGTTCAATTCCCGGTACAAAAGCAACAACAACAGGGCCGGGGAGATGGCTCAGTAGCATAAGTGCTTGCCTGGCAAGCACAAGGGCCTAAATTCAATCCCCAGTTCTGCCAAAAAAAAAAAAAAAAAAAAAACCAAACCAAACCAAACCAAACCAACCAACCAACCAATCAACCAACCAAAACAAAAGAAGTAGCAGGATTACAGAATACTTGCCTTTACCTTCATAAGCCCGGACTCTTTGGGGATTAGTGCAAACATATGAGATTTTTGTTGTTTTGAGTCAGGATCTTGTATTTAGTTCAGGTTAGTCTTTTTTTTTTTTTTTAATTTAATTTTATTTATTTATTTATTTATTTATGTGTGTGGCCAGCTCAGCCCACCAGGGGGCGGGGCTGGCTGGCATGTGGTCCCTGTGCTTTGCTAAGCTTGTTCCAAGTAGGTGCTTTAGACCACTGAGCCATCTCACCAGCCCCAGTTCAGGTTAGTCTTGAACTTACTGTATAGCCCAGGCTGGCCTCAAACTTGTGTTGATCCTCCTGTCTCAGCCTCCTGATTGCTGGAATTATAGGCATATGCCACCGTACCTAGCATAAATATGACTTTTTGATATTGCATAATGAAACATATCTACACTGGGAAGATATTTATAATTTAGTATGTTTGTTACTATTTCCTAAAAGACACCACAGAAGTGATATTACATGCAAAGTGTGAGATGGACCAACAGACTTTATTTTTTAAGATGGACTATGGCTCAGTTCTATTATTTTTCATATAAGGAATCAAACTCATGACCTTGCGCTTGCCAAGCATGTGCTGTGTGTGTCACTGATCTATGTCCCCGGCTGGGCTAGACCTTGTAATCCTCTTGTCTCAGCTTCTTCAGGGCTGAGATTAAAGGTGTGTACTACCATACCTAGCTTGGACCAGTGGATTTTTTGTTGTTGTTGTTGTTACCAGGGATTGGACTCAGGACCTTGTGCTTGCCAGGCAGGCACTTATGCCGCTGACCTATCTCTCTAGCCCAAAAGCAGTGGATTTTAATGTAAGAAGGATAAAAGGCTCCTGATGTGGTCTTATAGTCTATACAGCAGAAATCTTTAGGAAACCACCATCTATCCACTCTGGCATAAATATAGCATCGAAACAACACCACAGTTATGTGAGGAGGCTTGAAAAAATCCTGTTTCTCCAACCACATATGAAACCAGAAGTGAAGCCACAGCTTTCTCACTTACTTCAACCAAACTAACACGTGTCTTGTTATGGTTTGGGTCTAGATGTCCCCTCAAAGCCTCATGCCGTTCACAGCAGCTGTACCTACAGTGCTTGATGCTACAATTAAGGGTATGTGATACCAAATCAGGCCACTGCTGGTCTGGCACTGCCCTAATCCTGGCAGTCTAGACAGAGATCTACAAAGCTTGTTTTTTGGCCACCGTGAACTGTTTCTCCTCTGTGATGCCTGTGTGCTGTGCTACACTGCTTTGGAGTTAGTTGATTATGGACTAAAACCTCTAGAAACTGAGCTAAATAAACCTTTCCACACATCATTGGAAATGTCATCCAGACGCTTCAGGAGCTCTGTAGGGAGGGGCCGGATGAGTTGTCAGAGACTCTGGAGCAGACAGCTCACCCGTGAAGACCTGCTCACAGACCTAAGGTTGTTGAGTATTTTGTCTCAACAGCAAGAAAAAAGTAACTAAGATATGTGCTGAGTGCAGAAGCAACGTGGAAATACAGTTGTCTTCTGTCAAGCTAGACATTAAAGGGATGAACACAAATTTAAGAGTAATGCCACTTGTTTGACATCAGAGTTCTATTTTTCTTTTTCTTTTTAATGTGTTTCATACAGGGTCTCACTATGCAGCTTGGACTCATAGTGATTCTCCTGTTTTCAGCTTCCCCAGTGCTGAGATTACAGGCGTGTGCCACCATACCTGGTCTCATGGCTACCTGGCTCAGTGTGCCTGGGGGCAGGGCCAGCACAGCATGTGGTGCTGGGGATCACACCCCAGTCCCCGTGCTTGCCTAAGCAGGCATGTAGTCCACTGATCTATCTCGCTGGCCCTTAGACTTCTTGTATACTCACTAAAAAATATTTGTTGCATACCAGTTATGTGCTAGTTGCTGTTATATAAGCCAGGTGAAATTGACAAACATTAATAAGCTACAGCCTCTGATCTCAGACACACTCATAGTGTACTGGGGTAATACTTGTTTTTTATTTATTAAGTTCACGCCATTCTTTTTGCTACTTATTTTGTTTTGGAAAATCTGTTTCAGAACAGTTAAGTGTCACTGCTTGAACCAGAAGGACAAAAACACCTTGGGATCACCACAACCCCCAGTGTGGACTAAGCTCACGGCCCTCACATGTGGCTACCCAAGACATCAGAAAGCTCACCTAAGACGGCGTCCTGGATGGCGCTCTCGGGGTCATCCAGGTGAAGGAGGAGCTCCCTGTACAGGTACTGGATGCTGCTTTGATAGTACGACTTGCCGCCGGTGCTCTGGATGCATCTGAGCCAGGTGAGCAGGGCAGAGGTGGCGGCCATCCGCACATCATTGGAGACGTCGTCCAGACGCTTCAGGAGCTCTGCAGGGAGGGGCCGGATGGGTTGTCAGAGACTCCGGAGCAGACAGCTCACCGGTGAAGACCTGCTCACAGACCTAACCTTCACTCCTTGGCAGCACTGCCCTCAGTCCCGGGAGAGCCACCCCTCAAAGGGAGACCACACTGCAGCTGGCACCCACAGGTGTTGTGCTCTGCTGGCTCAGCAGACCCAGGCTGCCCTCCCCGGGAGATGGCAGGGACTCCTGGCTCTGAGAAGCCAGTCTCACACAGGGCTCCAGGGCTGGCCAGCCCTCTTCCCAAACAGCAGCAGCCGTGGGGGACAGGACAGTTTCATAGTTGTCAGTCTGTTTTGTGGGACTTGGTGACATGCCATGCTGCTACTGCAGCAAAACAGTCTTTCATTAATTTCTCTGTACTGGGGACTGAAGACTAAACCCAGGGCCTTCTCACTGAGCTATGTCCCCAGCTCGCTTGCTCTCACTCTCTCTCTTTTTAAGATTTATTTATTTACTTGGTACAGGGTCTCGCTATGTAGCTCAGACTCATAGTGATCCTCCTGTCTCAGCTTCCCCAGCACTGGGATTACAGGTGTGTGCCACCACACCTGGTTTTGGTGGCTGGCACAGCACACTCAGCATGGCATGTGGTACCAAGAATGAACCCGGGTCCTTATGCTTGCCAGAAAGGTGCTTAGACTGCTGAGCTATCTCCTTAGCCCTCCCAGCTCTTCTTTATTTGAAAAAACAAAACAACAACAATAAAAACCACATGGCACTTTATTATCTCAAGCTCTTTTTCATTTATTAGTTTTTGCTCCGAATGCCTTCAGGGCAGGTTTGGCTGGCTGGAGTGTTGTGGGGATCGAACTACAGCAACCTGAGGCTGACAGCTTTGTGGAAGCAGCCACTTAAAGAACTGAGCTAGGGCCA